TATTATGTTTGCTTCAAATATCTCTTAATTTTATTTATTTTTAAACTTTTTGCTGGTCAACAGCCAAGTGAAATTTATAAGCTGGAAAATAATACTTTGGGAAAAGGTGTGCTTAGTGACCAAGCAAGAGAAAAGGGAATGGAGTAAGGAGTCAGTTAATTATAAACGAAAAGGCACCTTTGTTTCTTCTGTTTATGTCTTGCAATTTCTAACCACACCAAACATAGTTTTGCATAGTTCTGAGTTACTAATCTGCATGGATCACATTGCAATGTCTGAGGTGTCATGGAAACTGGCTGGAGCAAAGCTGGCTTATGAAGCACATACAAGACAGCACAGGCAGTCTCTTTTCTTCAAGTATCTGCCTTCTAAGTGTTTTTTTTTTTTAAACAAGGTAATGACCAGTTTGCTTTTTCAAATATAACTTCCTTAGTTTTATTTGAAAAACACCATGCTCTGCTGGCATTTTGAATGATGGCTGTATGAAGCATTACATTATTAATTATTTGCTTTGATTATTCACATCATGTAACGCAACAGCAGTCAAGAGATTCTTTTGCCACTTGGCTATACACCTCTCAGTACACTAGTTTGCCTGCCAAAGCTAATATTTCTTTGATTTTGGTAGTTAACTATCAGTTTTGGGAAAGGTTGTGAAAGGAGAAAGAAACCCCATATGTTTAGTACAGGGGGGTATTTTTGTTTGCATACAGTAGCTCTTCTAATGCATAGTTCCTTTCAGTGCTGTTTTCTGAAAGGAAGAGTGCTTTCCTTTGAGATATCACCCTGGAAGGGGTTAATTTTATCTTGGAAAAATGCAGGTTATGTAAGATGTAACAAGACTGTATCATTAAAAATGAGGTTGTTTTCAAGAGCTGTTTTGCTAAAATTCAGTTGGAAGGGGTATGCTGTTCTATACCTCATAGTATGTGTAAAGAGAATTTACTGTTACTCTGTGCCTGCTTTTAGGAACTTGGCCCTGGTCAAGCAGGTACTTCTTAAGAATCAGAAAAATAGCAAACTGTACATGGCATCCTTCAAATTGACGTGACAGGGTAAGAGTGCCAGAAGTAAGAGTGAAGGGTGGCACTGGCAGCCCTACATTGACAAACTAGGAGTCACTGCATGAAGTTGGGGATGAGATTGCTAGGGTGCAGAAATCAGAACAGCTTCCCATAGGCCTGCCCTTCAGTTGTAGGTTGCAGATCAACAGATGGATGGAGAAAGCAGATATCATCTTACCTTTCAAATAAATTTTGTCTATTTTCATTTATTTCACTGACTAGACTCTTATTTCAAAACATAGTTGTATTTCTTTGTTGAAAATGCCATTTATGAATGAATAGAATTTTCATATTTGCACAGTTCAGGAACCCAAAGTGTGTCATTCTTCCTGGCAGGCTATAGAAATCCATCAAGCCCCAGTGTTTGGAACCAAAGAGTTACCATGACACTACTTGAAGATGGTTTAGCTGTGACTGTGATATATCTAGAGAAAGCAAGACATTTGGGGCCAGGGTGTGGAAATTTATTTGATTGAGTTATATTTGGTTTGGAAAGAAATATGTAGAATTTATACTTAAGATTATCCTACCCCAGTGTTACTGATAGTAACTTCAGATTAATTATTACACTATTTTCTCTTAGGTGTGCATTTTTAACTCTCTAGAACTTCTGTAATGGCAGAGTTCCACTGGAAGTTTGCAATTTGAATTTGAATTCAAATTAGAGGACTTGACATGGGTAAGGTTTATAGATCTTACCAAAGAAGTGACCACAAATCATCTATTTCCAAACCTGAAAGCCAGTGCTGAGGCATTTAGAGCTGCTGCTGTAGCTCATAAATTGCAAACCATGGCATGTGAACCATGCTGTTTGTAAGAGCTGGAGCAGAGCATGCATGGTCCACTGAACATTTTTTATAAATCCTAGACCTCAGATCTTTTTTGGCACTAGACTGCAAGAGTTTCAGCAAAACCCTCTTTTACTCACCTGCTATGGAAGTTATTGCATTTTTGGTGTACTTGGAGAAAGAGGAGCTCTTGCATTTCATTGCAAGGTACAGGATTCCAAACTTTAGAATAACAAGGTATTGAGTGCAAGGTGCCCCTTTTTTGTTCAATGAAATTGAACAGTCTGTTCCTGTAATTGTTTTGATTCATATCTGATTCATCCAACGGTGATACAGGATACTGAACAGCAGATTAAGTTCAATACCTAACAAAATAATTTAGTTGTATAAGGTGGAAATTATTTGAATTTCAAATCGTAGGCTTAGTCTGATTTGCAATATATGGCTCTTTTTGGGTTGTTGTGGGCGTTTTGGCTTTTTTTTTTTTTGTTTTTAAATTCTGTGCAAGATCTGTATTTCAATGCATATAACCTTTATAAAAGTACTCAAGTTTAAATGCACATAGAGTAGAATAAACCAGGATTTTACCCTTATTTACAGATGGTCAGCAGATTCTTGATTCTGTTTCCTTACATTAGAGAAAAGAGAGCTCTCGCTTACCTTGACTCCCATGGGAGACCTTGGGTAGAAGAGACTGCTAAGCATTTGCATACACCCACTGTTGTTTCAAGGAAAGGTGAATTTGGATTCTCTTGAAGAAGTCCTGTCTCTTACAAGAGGGGTACTGGAAAGTATTGTCTCATTTGGAGCTCTTCTTACTAAGGAGTGACAAGAGAGGTCTAAGTTCTGGCTCTTGGGTGATCTATAATGCCTTCCATGGTGGCAAAAAGGCACTTCCTCAATAGTATGTTTGAGCAGAAATTCAGCAATGTTGCTCTGACATCTATTCAGTAATCCTGTAAGAAGAGAGTATGGGATGGAATATAATTCAGTTACCTAAAAATGTCAAGTTAGAATTAGGAAATTCCAAATTCCACTATGAAGATTGAAGCTTCCCTCCCTCCCCCCATCAACCTTGAAGAAGTGATTAACTGAGGCTGCCTTGGAGACTGCTTGCTGCTATTGTCTCCTGCAGAAACAACACTTTGCTGCTAACTGGTTTAACTGTATCATGTCCTTGAATGTGTTTTCCTCTAACCACCTTCCTGGATTTCAGAACTGTTCCATAGTGTATATAACAACAAACCACAAAAATGTGACAGTAGTACTATTTTTCTGCCAGTTTTTGTTCTTTCTATCTGTCAGAGGTTTGGTTTTTATTTTTTCCCTTAGTGCTACTGCAGCAAAAATGCCTGCCTTTTGTTTATGTCTTCCTGCACTGGCATCGTGACATCATCAGTGATATCGCCAGGGGAAAAAAAATGCATAGCTTTAGCTAAACCAGCTGTTCGTTAGCAACCCATCTAGTCTGCTTTCGTTTCTTCTCATTAATGTATACACAGCAGTGCTTTCTGCTTAAGAGACGTAGAAGGTTCTCAGCCACGAACAATCTGCTCGGTCCGTGTTGTTGGGTAGATGAAAATGGTGGCACTGAAAAATACAGTCATTCTTGATAACGGAATTTTTTATTAAAAAACGTGAATGTGAGAGTCTAGAAGATATTCATTACTGTATTTAGTTGTGGGTAATTCTGAATCCTTTACTAACCATCTGGTATAATTCAGTGTAATCACAGACACTGCATATCAACTGTTACAAAACCTTAATAATACAAGATGAGCAAGATGCCAAGAACAATAAAGAAATGAGTTTTGTCATTGATTTGCATGATGACACGGTAAGGCAAATGAAACTGTATTAGTCATGCTTGTCCCTTCTTCCATGCAGATCAGTAGCAAAACTTCCACTCACTTCCATAGGACCAGAATAATGCCAACCATGAGCCACGAGCTGTCATTTATTGTAATGAGAGAGATCTTAAATAGAATAAGGAGGTATTTCATTTGTGGAATGTTAGTGAGAAAACAGGGTTTTTTTGCTATCTTATGTTATCAAAATCCTATGAATTATTCTAGAGATAATTGACTATAGAATAGCAGCATCTTTGCAGTGTTAAAATTATGGATAATTGCGTGTTCACTACCAGTTTTCAGGGTGGAGAAGAGATGTTCATTTATCATCACTAGATGGTTTGTTGAGAGCTTTAAATTAGAATATTTGGCAAATTCACTCTGCAGAAGGAGTTAAGCTATCTCCAAATATTCCAGCATGGATCCCTCATACTGATAATGCATCAGTGAAAAAAGATCAATAATATTTACCATTTTCTATAAAGGCTTTTGTAATTTGAATGTAGGTATTCACTTATTCTAATGTGAAATGCTTAGGTAAATATTAAATTTTTAAGTAATATAAAATGTTATTCAAATTTATATTTTTTAAAAAATAAACAACAAACCCCAACCAACCAAACACGCGTACACAAAAAAAACCCGCCCTGAGTATCACCAACTATTACCAAGAAGAGATTAGACTTCATTGTATTACATAATTTGTCATTCGGATTTGAGACTAATCCTCGCTCAAATGGCCAATTCTCATTCACCTGAGTAGGCTCACTGAAGCCAGCAAAACTCATTTTATGACCAAAGATTACAGAATAATGCCCTTGACTGATGAGACAAATTCAAATCAAGGGGCTGCTTTTTAGGTACAATTTTTCATTCGGAAGCTCATCCTCTCCATAAGGGATAAACACTGGCAGATTAAGTGTTGGCAAAATATTACCTCTCCAGAATATTAATTTCAGTGTGCACCGTGTGCGGAGCGATGCAGACAATGCATGGTTTGTGCCACTCCCCATAAGAAAAAATTACTTCTAACAGATCTCTTGAATTTCTACTTGGACCAGTGTTACAAGTGGGAGTGTTAATAATAATAATTGGGGGAAAAAAAAAAGTTGAGGGGATTTCCATAACAACTGCTGTCTTAATGAGCTAAAGAAGCCTTAGAATTTGTTATTCCTTCCTCATAGTAGACCTCAGCTGATAAAAATATCTGTAGCCGGTGAAATCAGTGGCATGCCTGGCTTTCTCAGACAAAACTCCCATGTGATCACACAGGCAGCCTCAGTGAGCCTGAAGCTGCTCAGCAAGCAGTAGGTAATGAGTCTTTGTGCAGAGCGAAGCTCTTGTGGCTGAACAATAAAGCATATGGTACCAGCAATAAAACACAGTGCTGGGAGATTTAAGAAGATTCTGCTGGAAGTAGGAAGACAGTGAATATGTCAAACGTTATAAAATGACGATCAATCTGGTTTGGTTCCTAATTAATAAAAACAGTGCATGGATTGGAAAAACAACAATTTGAACAGGTCAGTTTTTTTTTATAGATTCTTCACACACTTCAGTATTTTAAATATAAGTGGGGGTTTTGCTATTTCCTTATTATTACTAAAGCCAGGTTTTTTTGCATTTTGTAAGGTGGGATTGGAAGGATTGACATTAATGTGATACCAGGCTAAATAAATTGTGTAAGTTCTGTGATCAAACTCATTGTAAAAATGTTTCTACTATTACTCCTATGCAATTCAAACTTCAATTGTGCATGAAAAATGGGGTAGCAAGTAAAATTAAATTTATGCTAGATGGATCATTTACCAATAACATAAAATATTTAGTAACAACAATCTATTATTCTGCTATGTATTTGAGACTAATTCTTTCTCAGTTGGAGATCTGTAGCATCTGTGTTTGGTTAAAAATAATGTAACATTAGAGCATATCTAACAGTGCACTTATGTTTTTTTTCCTACACATTCTTCTTGGGTAATTTTGAAAGTGGTGTTTTGTCTTATTTTTAATGCAATTATATACACATAGGAGTGATACATTATAACCCTCTGCCTGCATTTCACTCTAATATTAATGCAATACATGTTATTTTTCAAGCAAGTATTTATTTCTCATAGTAGTTCTTAGTTAATTATACATTAATTATTTTTTGAAAACTGCTCCCAGAGATTTCTGTGGCCTGTTTGTCTTACAGAGGACAGACATGCAATTTTTCTGGTTGTATCACATCACGTAGAAATTAACCAGGTAAAAGTTTTAATCTTGAAATCTCTTTACAGTACTGGTTTGTGGGCTTTTTTTCCCCTTTTCTGAATACTGGAGATCATGAATTAGGTATGTTGGCAATGCCTGAAAGAAATAGATGTGCTGATTTTGGGGGAGTATTTCAGCAGAAAGGAGATGGAGCCCTTGAAAAGCAGTTGGGTAAATACAGAAATAAAACCCACAACGTTGAGAACAGAATCTTCTTTTATGTGCACTTATGATTTCAATGGGGAAATGTTCCTTATAGGCACCACGTTGCTTTCGCTGCCGTGTCCCTGCGGGGAGCGCAGGGCCCAGCGCTGCCGGGGCTGCGGGCGGAGAGATGCGTTCGCGTTGTGTTCGTACCGGTTCGCTATTGTGTGTCCGCTGAAAGGAGCCGTGCACAACCCGACCCTCGCCGCCCCCGAGCTCCCTGCCCCCTGGAAATGAAGAGAGGAAAAAGGGAAAAGGAAGCCCGGGCTCTGGCCGCAGCGGGGGAGGGGGGGAATGGTCTCCTTTGGAAACCCGCCGCGGTGGGCGGGCGGGCTTCTCGCCGGGTCGGGCTGGGGGTCGCGGGCGGCGCCGCTTCGTCTCTGGCCCCAGCTCCGGCCTTGGCCCGCGGCCGCGGCCCCGGCGGGGCCCGGGGCGAGGAGCGCGGGGCTGCGGGCCCCCGTGCCCGGCGTGCCGTGCCCCGAGCGCTGTGCCCGGCGTTGCCCCGCGGCGGGGGCGGGGCAGTGCCATGCAGATGAGGGGCGGTGCCGGCGCTCGGCGGGGCAGCGGCCGGGGCAGGTACGGGGGGCGCGGGGGCCGGCGGTGCCCCCGCTTTGTCCCGCGGCCGGGCGCGGGGAGCGATCGCGGAGCGCCGGGGCGGTCCGACCTGCCGCCGCGGGGAGCGGGGCGGGACGGGGGCTCCCCGTGCGGGACCCGGGGTCGGGGTCTGGCTCTGCCTCGGCAGCAGCAGCGCAGCCCACGCGGTCTCGGATTAGGAATCCATTATGCATAATTTTATAGTTGTAAATATTACCGAAAACTAATTTAAATTGCTTTGCAGTCCTTGTTTTAAAACAGTTCTCCTGTGAAAGGTAAATTCTGCGTTAAAAAGCAGATACAGCTTGGCGTCTCAGAAAACGGGCCTGTTCGTGTTTTAGACAATAGATCAGAAAGGATGTGTAAAAGTGCTTTTTCATCATACTAAGGTGCAACTATTCATTTGTTTCACAGGGAACCCTGGTAAAATCACAGTAACACTGCGGTTTGTACCATCAAATTGGATGAGATACACTGAATGTGTCACTCTGTGCTAATTTAAATGTAGAAAATATAACAATATATAGTCACGGAATTATCGTATAATTACTATATTTGTTTAAAATTAATTAAGTGGATTTTAAATTTCAATTTATGAGGCAGTTAGGTGCTTAAAGTACATACAGAGATAAAATTAACAGTGTGCTTTAAAATAACAATAGGAACATCCCAACAGAAGAGCATTCCCACTGTTAAAATGGAATCACAACTTTGGAATACACCTGTCTTGTTCGTTTAGGCAGACAGAAAACAAAACACCTGACGTTTTTCCTGTGGATCAGGCATTTCATGTTCTAAAGCATTGCCAGTATTAAGTTATTTAAGGAAGTTTAAGGAAAAAATCCTGAAACAAAAAGGTGTTTTGTGCTGCTGCCAAGTTATGGTAATTTTGAGATACACTTTTTTCCCCATCTATAGTCAAACTGAGGTGTATGTTTATGTAAACATTTTGTGCTGTAATTTGAATGGTGGCTGTTGAGCCCCTTTAAGGATCATAAATAGAACCCAATGTTTCTGTAAGTATCTGGCATTTTGGAGACAGGGATGTGATTATGATCTCCCATATTACCAAAGTATAGTGTTATTTATACTAATTTACTTCTATATCTGAGGACCCCAAGTCTGGTGTGTAGTGTTTTGGTTTGAGAATGTGCAATGTTTACTGTATATGTTAGATGTTTAATCTCATTTGTTTATTGGAAAGAGGAATTTGCATTTCTTGAAAAAGTTGTTGCTGTGGACAGATGCAATAGTTGACTAAAGTTTAAGTTCAATATTAATTGAAGACATGTTAGTCATGGTTTAGAGTACACAATGGCAAATGTTTGGAAATTCATTCCAAAGCTTAAATATTTTCTCTGAAATAGCAACAGATGATTGTGTCATTTAAAACTCTTACTTGCTCTAAAGGGTACTTGTAGTAACTGAACCTTGAATTTGAGAGTTGTTTTCCCTTTCAACAAGCAGGTGGAAGGTCAGGCTGAAGCAAGGCAGGTATAATCTATTGCAAGATTGGTAAAACTGTCTGAAAGATAAATTTACATGTAGTCTGTCAGTCTCTCTCTTTGTTCTTGCTCTGAACCAGTTACGATGCTGAGAAAATCTGGATTATAGATGTGCCATTCCTTCAGTAAAACATCACCAAATACCATCACATCCTTAAAACGCTGATGTCATTCCAAGTCCTACCAGTGAGTTTTGATTACTGTTGCTTCATTTTTCTTTTGTAGTTTTTTTTTGACCCAGAAAAAGGGACTCAATATAGATAAGTCATACTTTTCATCCGTTCTGCAGACAGAGGTAGATGGGTCTGCGTTGTGTCCGTGCTGTGGCAGCGGTTCCAGTGTTGGTACCTCGGGCAGCTGGTCCAGGCCCATGCACTGGGTGAGGGGGCAGGAGCTGCTGGGGTGACTCCACAAGCGCTGTCCCATGACTACAGGATCTGTGGAAGGGCTGATAGGCCAGCTCCAGGCCCTACAGTTCCCTGCTGGGCATCACAGCTGGGGCAAGGAGGCTTTCATTTCAAACACATCTCCTCGGGCTGCCTGAAAGTGGGAGTCGGGACTCCTCCGGTGTCTGTGGGCATCTCCCACCAGAGGAACAGCTGGTCCTTCTGGGAAGATGAAATAGGTTGACACTGCAATGGCTTCAGGAGGAGGTTGGGTTTTTCTGAATAGGGATCTGAGTTTGATAATGAACTTCTTGGTGCTTTAAAATCTGTTCTTTGTTATAATTGAACAAAGTCTGCTCTTAATATATTATGAATATGTTAAAAAAAAGGAAGCTGGATTGCAAATGTTTTTGTATTTCTTAAGTGATAGCAATCGCTAGTAAGTGCTACTTGTGTGGGGGTGAAAGGGTAAACAAAAAAATGTTGAAAGCCACAAAATGTGTTTAATTGTTTTTAGTGTGGGCAACAAATGATAGCACTGCTTACTTCCAACATGAATCTGTGACAGCTATTCTCAGTCAAACATTTTTGTCTTTCAAGTATTCTATTATGGGGGTGGGAGGGAAACCCCATGACTCTGGGGGGACTTGGAGTCCTTGCAGGGCTGCCATTGTTTTGCTCTCTTCCAGTACCTGAGTCTTTATTGAACCATTCAGTTTCAGAGTAGCTCAAGGTTTAACTTTGTAGCTTTCAATTAAGTAGCTCACTTGTTTACTATTATGCCCTCCTCACCTACTCTTACTTATAAACAAACATCTTTTAACAATGAAATGAAAAAGCGAAAATTGCAGAGTATTAACATTCTCATCTCAGCTCCCCTGGAAAAGGCAGAATGATCAGAGATTTGGTAAATCAAAATATATGAACGACCTCAGGTTGAAAGCATAAGCCCTGTACCTTCACAGCAGTGCTTTTAAGGAGAGTGTAGGGCAGATAATTAATTTTGTTCTAGCACAGTCCCCTGACTGAAGTGTTGTTGGATGGTCATAAGGTGCTTACAAGTCAGGCAATGCAATGGGAATGGGCTGGCTGCTCAATTTGTATTCATCACTGTCTTAATGGCAAGAGGGCCTTGGGAATCGGATGGGTATATACTTACCTGCAGCTCTTCTGTCAGCCTTCTGGAGAAGTTTTCAGCTTTGAATTATGAAGTGAACTGAAAGGGATTTTTAGACGTGTTTATTATGTTACCAAGTCACTACAGCCAAAACCTCCTGATTTCCTTTAGCATTAATAAAGAAGTGAAAGGAGTCAACATTCAATTTTAACACAGCTGGGAATCTAATTTTAGGTCAGCCTTACTAGTAAGTGGTCTGTCATGTTAACGCGATACACCCTGCCTTTGTGTGGCTCTGTGTTGATTATACACATGTACACATGCACAGGTGAATGACCTCTGGGTAATTTTTGATGGCCAAAAATCTGAAGTTATTGTTGGAAAGATTGCCTGTGATTGAATATGTGCTTTAAAAATCCTCTTTGAGGTTTTCAGTTATTGAAATTTCTGAGAAGACGACT